TCCGGTGAAATACATCATGTAGTGTTACACTAATATTGATATGCACATAATAAAGGGCACACATGTGTATGTGTGCTTAGTGGTAGTTTTTTATATAAATATACGGTTTAAAACCACATGAGATTTCCATATACACACAAACACAAACATACTCGCGCTTTGGTGTGTGTAGATCAACTGTAAAAATCCACTCGGTGTAACCTTCACCCAGCGTAATATAAAAATAACCCTATACGTGTTTTCTTTTCCAAGTGTGTCGATAAAATTTCCAATTTTTACACAAATCATTTCGAAGTTCGAAGTTCGAAGATGCCGAGTTTACATTACGGTGCGTGAGCTTTTTCTACCTTCTACTTTACTTTTCTAGGTTTCTCCTCTTCGAACTAGACCGTAATAGAACCAACACCATCAGTAATGGCTAATAAAACCCTCTTTGGGTGCTATCTGATACGGTATAATTTGTGAAGAGAGGATAATTGAAAGCAGAAGAGAAGTTGAATAAGAGAAGAAGACTAAGTAAACAATTACGTTCTCATATATTCCCCCATTATCTATTGTAGCTATATATATATATAGCCTTACAATAAATATAGTAACTGCCGAGCTAAATAATACACGGATAATTAGGAAATATTATCAACTAATTAAGCCACTACTTATCTACCACTAATGATATACTAACTAAATCAAAACACTATCCCATGTATTCCTAACCACCATTCACCAGTACCCACGTACATTGTTGCAACATATCACTATCCATGTAAAACTCGAGTTGCATGATATTATGTACGTATTGCAAAATAGGAAATGAAAAGAATTGGCAAATCATGATTTTTATCAAATGACCTTTAAACATATACTGAATACTCTCCGAAAACCAAAGAACTCGAATTCTAAACAATGAAATGGGAATTAAAAATCAATTCCGTCCAAATAAAATAAAAATTCAAATAAATCTACTAAATAGGTGAAATGTCAAAAATACCATAGAAAGGTTTTTAGCAATGGTACATTATCTTTTATTCACAAATATTATTTATTTCTTAACTTTATATTTTTTAATCCAAAACACTATAATTAATTTGATTATACCAAAATATATAAATATTATTTATTTAGCAATTACTAAAAATAAATATGTAAAAGAAAATTAAACATATATTTTATTTATGTAATATTGTTTTTAGTTGTGTATACAATGAATTCGGTTTTGCCTAATCTTATAAATATTAGGTTATTTTTTATTTCATGTTACGTATATTTTATTATTATTTAACATTTTTGTAATAGTATTTCAATTTTTAAAAAATAAAAATAATTAATAATTAAAAAAATCGGAAAAAAGTGTGTGTGGGGTGGGGGGGGGGGGGGGGGGTGTTGGGGGTGTGCCCGTGCGAATTTTTGTAGTTTAGGTGGCAAAGTGAAAAAACGGGCAAAGTAGAGATGTCAAAATGCTATTAATCCAATACTTTATTTTTTTTATTTTACTGTGGGTTTTTTTCTTTTAGGTGTTTTTTTACTGTTTTAATTTTGGGCTCGGTTGTCTTACGGTCGAATCGACATAAATTTGACAATATATTTTCGGTAATTTGTAATAGGAAAATAACCTCATCCATGAACCTAGACACATCCACCAGTGGGTCGGACCGGATCCGGTCCGAGTTTTAGGCGGCCCGAAACCAACCCTCTTGGAGGCGAGGCCGGGGCGGGGTTCGAACAGAATTTTTCAATTTTTTTTAAATAAAAATTACAATAAAGAAAACAAAGAGTACACTGAAACCACTTGAGCTTAGCATAAATTTCAAAAATATAATTTAAAACAATAAACAAATTTGAATTTCAAATTAATTATCGAAGAAATCATTAATGTTTAAATCGAAACATTTTCTTGACACGGATTGCACGGGTGTCATCTCGTGATTCAAACAAGTTTAGTTCAATATCAATATATTTAAACGTGTCTTCGACCGACGGTGGTGTTTGTACTTGAGGGGAGTCGAATTCAATCTGATGCTTCTCTTATGTAGAGCAACTCCAATGGGAGTATCAAATGGATTATCAAATCCATAAACCACTTTTTTGATATTCCAAAATCAAAATTTTCCACTCCAATGGGAGTATCAAAATGAGTAAGTATTTTGATATTCTACCTCTTTGAATGTAAAAATACATCCCGGAAATTGAGTTATCAAAAAAATAACTACCTAAACATCCAATCAAAAAATGACACGTGGCAATTAATTACAAATAAAACCACTAAAAAACTTCCAATTGATTATTGATTTAGATAACCATGGTTGGAGTAAATAAGTTGTAAATAGATATTAAAATATTATCTTAATTATCAAATGAGTATTTGATAATCCAATTTTGATGTTTAGCATTGGAGTTGCTCGTATGGTGTAATGAACCATAATCAATTGTGAATTCAAATTTGTAATATTTCTATAAAAAAAACCAAAAAATCCAAACAAAAGTTACGCAATAAAGAATTTACAAAATAAAACATTAATAACCTATTTAATATTTATTGTGTAATATTTGCGTTTTGTTTGGATTTCTCCAGACGCGAGTTGTATTTCTTGAACCCATTGGGTGTCGGTGACGGTGGTTTCAATGTGGTTCCGGTTAAGGATATGTAGTCTTCGTAAATTATGCGGTTACCGGCATCGTCGATTTGAACTGGTCGATGAAGAAGTTGTTTGGAGTAGAGAAGGGGGAGTCGACGGGGAAGAAGATGAAATGTTTCTTTGAAGAAGGGGAAGGGGGAGGATTCCATGACCGCCGACGGAAGATGAATAAACGGTTGTAGTGGTCGCCGTACGGTGGCCGGTGGAGAGCCCTCACCGGCGGTTAAGTTTGGTTGTTGGTTGTGGGGGTGGGAGGTGCATGCGGTTGGGGAAGAAGACCATTGTATCACACTTTCTTCATTTTTTTGTTTTTTATTTTATTTTATTTTTTCCTTTTTTTTTAAGGGTAAATTACATCCACACCCCTGAGGTATGCTTAAATAATTTTAAGGTCCGATAATTACACTCACACCCCTGAAACGTAGTTAGAAACTTTAACGGGATAATACATTGGATACATTATTCCAATAGGGTTCTAATGGACTATTATTTTTAGCTAGTGGTGGAAATAACATAGAGTTATGGGGAGTTATGGGATGACATGGCTCCCCCAATATTTCTTAAATCAACCATAACTCTTTGTTGTCTCTACCACTTCCTGAAACCAATAGTCCGTTAGAACTCTATCGTAATAACGTATCCAATGCATTATCCCATTAGACTTTATAACTACGTTTCAAGGGGGTGAGTAGTGTAATTATCGATACCACAGGGACCTTAAAGTTATTTAAGCATACCTCAGGGGTGTGGGTGTAATTTACCCTTTTTTAATTATTATTTATTTTTAGTTGATTATTTATTTACATTTTTTTTTTTTAATTGAAATACTATTGAAGAATTGTTAAAGAATAATAATATTTGTAACATAATATTTATAAAATTAGGCAAAAATTGTATAGACAACTAAAACCAATATTTCTTAAATTAAAATACATGTTTAATTTTCTTTTACATCTTTTATTTATTTTAGACAATTGCTAAATAAATAATCTTATATATAAAAAAAACAAACCCTGGGACAACTTAAAAAATCATAATGACATATTTGTAATTTTTTTTTTATTATTTTCAATTTTTATCTCCTAAGTATTATTTTCGAATTTTATCAATTTTTATCTCCTAAATATTATTTTCGATTCTTATCAAATTTTTATCTCCTAAATATTATTTTAAATTTTATATCCTAAATATTATTTTAAATGTTATATCCTAAACATTATTTTCGATTTTTATCAAATTTTTATCTCCTAAATATTATTTTCGATTTTTATCATTTTTTTATCTCCTAAATATTATTTTCGATTTTTATCAAATTTTTATTTCCTAAATATTATTTTCGACTTTTATCAGATTTTATTTTTTTATTTTAGATTTTTATCTCCTAAAAATTATTTTCCACTTTTATCAATTTTTTATCTTCGAACCAGCCCAATCACATGATTTTTGACGTTTGAGAGGTGCGGGGCGATGAAGGCGGGGCCGGTGATAATCGACCGCCAAGATTTGGATACGGTGACGAAGCAGATTAAGAATTTAACCGGCAGTTTTACGAGGATTTCGATCACGAGATCTTTCGGTAGGTTGTCGACATGGTAGACGGATGACAGGTGAAAGTAACAAAACCCTACCGAACACAGCCGGAGAGATTTTTTCATTGTATGTGAAATTAAAAAAAAAAAAAAAAAAAATAAGAAAGGGAGTTAAAAAAGAAAAAGAAAAACGTGGTTGGTAGAATTGGGAAGTCCCAATAGGTTTGGAACTTTGGTACCACAGAAAATTATAATTTCTTTTGTCACTTTTTTTTTCTAATTTAAAATTTTATTGGAAAATTTGAAAAAAAAAATACTAAATAGAAAAATAAATAATTCCAAAAAAAAATTATTCAAAAAGTTCCAAATTACAATATTTCAAACAGGATAAAGTCACCTTTCGTCTTAAAGACTTAAAAGTCACGAAAACAGTAGAGAACACCTTACATGTATGAGTAAATGGATTGATTTGCAGATGAGACTGATACAATAGATAAGAGTTTGCAAGTGCAAATCAATAAAGAGAGGGAATATTGGCGACAAGTATTATTGAGGACAATTGCTCCTGTGCAAACGCATGCTAGTAATAATTTTAGCATTTCGTGGAGATAATGAGAAAATTGACCACGAGAACAATGGCAACTTCCTAAGCTATATTCAGATGATTGCATAATTTGGTCCAATTATGTAAGTCTGCTTCCGACGTATTGAGGATGGATCGATTTATCATTATTACCTTAGTCACAAGATTCAGAATAAACTGATTCAAATGTTAGCAGGTGAAACTAGAAGTGCAATTGTGAAAATAGTCAACAAAATTCATAATGAATTGATTCATATGTTAGCAGGTGAAACTAGAAGTGCAATTGTGAAAACCGTTGAAGAAGTTAAATACTTCTCGGTAATGCTTGATTGTACTCCTGATATTAGTCATGAAGAACAAATGACATTGGTAGTTCGATGTGTAGATATTTTTAGCAATTAGAAATTTCACAAGGGCGCGTTGGATGCTTAAAGCTCCAAATGGTACTTTTATCTTTAGAGCACATATATGAGTGATGATGTTTTTTAAACACATGAGCAGTTTATAAGGAAATCTCTAAAGGGCATTTATCCATGTAAGAAAATCCAACCTCCTTCTATCCTACATGCTAGTTAGATCAAACCTCAAATTTCAATATCAAACGCCAAAATCGAACTACGTCGAAAACTATTGTCATCGACCGGCTCTTCTTCTGAGAGCCAATGCACAACCTTTTGCCAACTCCATAGTTGGAAAAAAACTTGCAGAGTAAAATCAACTCCACTCACCTTTTGCCAACTCCATGTCGTAAGTGAAAATATCTCAACCCGTTGCGCCACATTTATAACCAGAAAGATAGTAGCAAGTTCATTTGGAAACTTCTAGAGCAAAATGACACACTACAACACAAATCACAATCCATGGCGTTTGAAAATCGCAACCGTATGATTTTATACCGTTTTTAAAAAAACGATATCTCTGCCCGAGCTATCATAATAGGTCTCGAGTTCTTGCAGAGTTTTCCAAACGCTCTTAATCGGAGAACATAAAAAGTGAATGTTGCCTTGCATAAAATGTATGTGGCTAATTAAATAATTAAACAATACAAATAAAAATCAAAGAAAAACCCTTCTTCTTCACCGACGCCATCTTCATCGTAAAAGGAATAAAAATGTCAAAGGCTAAAAATACATAGAAGATGGAAATTAAAATAAATTAATTTACCAATTCAACAACATCTAAATAAAATTTAAGACTAGTAACGTAAACTAAAATTTTATCTGTACTTGCTCACAACTCCATTATTGGATCCACTAAATTCTCTAAGCAAGAGCAAGCTTTCCACATAATTATCAATATAGAATAACTCTTTAGTTCCGTCGATTTCAATATCCTTACTCCGCCTAGTATCGGGATCATAGGCCATTATATAGTTCTTCACGCGCGTATCGTGATTATTGGCCAGTATATAATTCTTCACGCGCCTAGTATCGGGATCATAGGCCACTATATAATTCTTCACGTACCTAGTATCGGGATTATTGGCCACTATATAGCTCTTCACACGCCTTCGTATGGACAATAGAGCTTCACCTCTATTGGAAAACGCAACTATTTTCTCTACCCAAAACCGCAACGGAACGTTATATAGCTTAGTCCAAGATTCTTTCACGCAGTACTCCTTCATCGCCCAAACTTCGCATGATTCGCATCCGTCGTAGTTGACCGCTCCGAATAGTCCCCCGATCACGAAAATACGCAACTCCGGTTTAATCGCACTCGCTAACTTATCGGGGAGGTTTACTTCACTGAACACCTCGTCGCGAATATCAAAGGCCAAAATCGAATTACGTCGAGTAGTATTGTCGTCGTCGGCCGGTTCTTCTACGGAGAGCCAATGCACGACGCCGTTCAGGAAAGCTTGACGACGAAAACCTGAAAAAGCACGTAGCGTGAAATCGACTCGGGTCTTGACCTTTCGCCAACTCCATGTCTCGAGTGAAAATATCTCGACCTGCGGTCGACCGCCGAAGTTAACAACACCGTTGTTTATCATGCAATAAACCAACCTCACAACTTTGTAGACGTGATTCGCAACTCCTCCGAAACCGAGTACCGCAATGTGGGACTCGTTCGGATTGATAGTGGGTTTCGGTAAAACTGTATGATTTCTAACGGACGGGTTCCATATGATAATATGGCTTCCGGAAGGATCGCCGAACACGTCGTCCGATAAGCACACGAGCCCGTCGCAACAGCCGACTTTTATCAAAAACGATAGGAAGGGGAATTCGTGCTTCGAGGAAGAATTGATACAAAAGGGTCCGACTTCGGTGAATTTAACAAGTGGATTGTGTTCGGTTTCGTACGTGAGGAGGGTTCGATTTTTGGCGTTCGAGAGCTGCGATGCGATGAAGGCGGGGGTGGTGATAATCGACCGCCAAGATTTCGAAACGGTGAGGAAACGGACTAAGGATTTAACCGGCAGTTTGACGAGGATTTCGAGCACGAGATCTGTGGGTAAATAATTCGACATGGTTTACTGATGAAAGTTGAACAGAACCCTATATATATAATATCAAGGTGAAATTGGAAAAAAGGAAAATAACGTTGGTGGGTTGCTTATAGATTAGAATTAGGAAATCCTAATTGGTTTAGAATTTTGGTACCGTAGAAAAGTAGAAATTCTTTTTGTCACTTTCTTTTTTAAAATTTAAAAATTTATTGGAAAATTACCAAAAAATTACTAAATAAAAAAAAATTCCAAAAAACTTGGTTTTATTCAAATAGTCCCAAAGAATAGGAGGAAAAGAAAAAAAGAGAAAAATTGGAAGAATGACCTTTTACTACGATTTTTTTTGCTACATTAAAAAACCGTAACAAAAGGTACTTTTTGTTACCGAACAATCTTGAAGTCGTAGTAAATGTTAGGATTAACCACAACCAAGATATATACATCTTTGTTCCGATCGTGCTAATTTATACATTAATTAATAGCTCGTTAAAATATGAGACTGTTACTAAAATATATATTTTTAAATATATTACTCAATTTTAGACGCATTATAATCATCGAATTTATAAAAGTCTTTTACAGGATTGTGAAAATTATTTCATGAAGTCTAAAAAGTTATGCTGCACGGATACTTCTAAGAGGTGAAGAGTCCCCGTATTCGATACTTGGACACTCGGACACGCCCGGACACTCCTCGGACACCCGTGTCGGGCCGTGTCATAATTTCGCTAAAAGTAGGACACACGTATCGGGCAGTGTCCGTAATTTTATAAAAAAATGGGACACGACTCTTATGTTTTAAGAGAAAGGCCTAATAAAAAATACGCATTTTCTTTTCTTTGTAACACATATTTCCTATATGTTCTTTGAGAGTCGACCCAAAAGTCCAAAACTCTAGCAACAACGCCGACCAAGATTACGAGCAGCAAGGGCGAGCGGCTCGACCGGCTCTCTTATGCGATTTGGCGACTTATAAATATATTTTTACAATTTATAAATGTATCCCTATATTTTTATAATTTATAAATATAACCCTATATTTTTTATATTTACGCGTATCCCCGCGTGTCCGTATCCTAGTTTTTTGGAAATGCCGTATCACCGTGTCTGTATCCGCGTATCGCCGTGTCCGCGTATCCGTGTCCGTGTCCGTGCAGCATAGCTAAAAAGTAATTACAATCAATTTGTTTTCATCGAAATCATCACTTTTTGCTTAAATCAATGGCTAGGTGGGTGTAAATTATTGATTTGAACCAAACCTCAAGGGAGGAATATGTAATCTTCAAATCCAAAAAAAATAAAAAAATAAACCCTTTAATTACAACTACCTCATCAATTATGTATTGTCTTAAACGTCCACCCGTGCAGTATCAATCAATTTACCTACTTAATGAGGGGCTTTTTCTGTAAGAAAATACATAGTTGAGGAAATAATCGTAATTACCTAAACATGAAGGGTCTTTTCATAATTTGACTTTACCTCAAGGGCAGTGGCGGATCTACCTATGGTCTAGGGTGTGCAGCTGCACACCCTTGATTTTACAGATAAATTATACTGTTATACATAATTTAAAAAAAACATCTAATGGTTGAGGTGGTAAAGAGCTTATTCAAGCATTAAGAGGTTCCAGGTTCGATTTCTGTTCCTCTCAAATACTTTTTTTCTCTCAAAATGGTCCAAACCATTGAAATAATTAATATTTTTCACCTCTTTTCTCTTTAAATATTTCTGAAATTTTCCTAAATCCTTTTTTTCTCTCAAAATGGTCCAAACCATTGAAATAGTTAATATTTTTCACCTCTTTTCTCTTTAAATATTTCTAAAATTTTCCTAAATTTTGAAAATCGTAAATTTTTGGTCCACTATTTTTTTAAACTGATTTAATTTTTTTATTTTACGCAATTTCGAACCCCCTTGGCAAAATTCCTGGATCCGCCACTGCTCAAGGGTGGCCGTAATTTGAATATCATGATAACCGAAATAAATCGAACACCACAGTCCACAGATTCTGCATGCAATAACACTAAAACAAGGCAATCGAACAACGATCACCATGAATCTTTAACTCTTTACCAAGACAAACTGAAGTTCCAAAACAAATTCAAGATTCTGAATAGCCAAAGTATCAAGTCTGTAAACACCACACATTCTCTATGTAATAACACTAAATCAAGGCAATCGAAATAACGAAAACAATGACTGCGGTCACTTATTCATAACCTTAATTGCAGTGTACATACGAAAAGATCAATATATTTTACCTATAAAACATCATCCCTCTTCTATTTGCTCTACCGAAAGTGCCCCTTGGATATTCCGTCTCCTTTACCGACTTCGTTTCATATATCTCTCTCTCTGTTTCACATCAAATTTGAACTAATTTCAACAATCATAACTGAAATCATCTTCATCGTAAAACAAGTAAAGCATCAATTAAAATTTAAAAGACTAAATATAAAGTTGCAAAACAGAATACTCCAACAATTTCAAGATCAAATCGTATCGAATCGAAACCTAAGATTAAGATAGGAGAACACTCTATAATAGAAGTCAACTCAAAATATTTCTAGAATATACTAATCTTTTGTCGCCCTTACCCATTTATTTTCTCCTATTTCCCGTCGCCCGTTAAATTTAAACACATAAGCATATTCATAACCGAGATCATCTTAATCGTAAACGGAATAAAAATGTCAAAATTAACTATTTTAATAGATTCAAGTTCAACCCGTATCGAATTCAAAATTAAAACTAGTATCGTAAACTAAATCATAAGTCTTGCCTGCCTCAGTTCTCGATTCTTCGTACACTCGATTCCTCCTCGGCAGCTCCAACAACATGTCCTTTAAGCAAGAGCAAGCTTTCCGAATAATTATCGACATAAAACGACCGCGGAGCCCCATCGATTCCAAGATCCGTAGTCAGCATAGTAAACGGATTATACGCAACTAACCCAATATTCATTAAGGCCAATAAAGCTTCACCGCTCTCCAAAAACCCGACTACTTTTTCTAAGTGTTCCAACATACCGATCCTATATAACTTAATCCACGATTCTTTCACACCGTACTCCTTCATGAACCACACGTCGCACGACTGTCTAGTTGCCTCCCCGTCGTATTTGACGATTCCAAGTGATTCCCCAATCACGAAAATACAAAAACTCGTCACGGATTCACTTGCCAATTCGTCGGGCAACGCTACTTCACCGAACACCTCCTCGCCCATGTGAAAGGACAAAATCGAACCACGGGTAGTTTTGTTTTCATCGATTGGTTCGTAAGCCAGCCAATGCACAACCCCGTTCAAGAAAGCTTGATTCCACATATATTCAAGAACCCGGAGGCGAACGTCAACTCCGCTGATCTTTTTCCACTTCCCTGTACCGACGGAATAGATCTCGACGAGCGGCGGAACGACGAAACCGAAATCTTCGGTTTTTCTGCAGTAAACCAGCCTCACAACCTTGTGAACATGACTAGCAACTCCTCCGAAACCCAATGCAACAATGTGGGGTACTTCTTTCGGATTGATAGTAGTGTTGGGCAAAACTATATGATTTCTAACGGATGGGTTCCATATAACAATCGGCGACGAACAATTAACGAATAAATCGTCCAATAAGCAGACGAGCCCATCGCAACAGCCGACGATTCTGAAATACCCGTTTTGGGATTTGAACGGAAAAACGAGCTGCGAGGAAGAATTGCGGCCAAAGATTACACCTTTGGTGGTTTTGAGCAGAGAGTAGTGTTCTAGCTTGTCGGATATGTCGTAGCGCCGGAGGAGGAGGGTGTGGTTGTTGCCGCCGCCGGAGATGTGGGAATCGATGAAGGTGCGGCTGGTGATGATCGACCGCCACGATTTGGCGACGGTGGTGAAGCGGATTAGGGATTTGACCGGCAGTTTGAGGAGGATTTCGATCAGGATGTCTGTGGGTATGAAATCCGACATTGCTTCACCGGCGGAAGTTGAGAGAGAACAGAAGCCCTAGGGAAACAGGCCGGAGAGATTTTTGGGGAAAAATTGAGACTCTTTTATATTGGGTAAAAATTGATTTTGCACCCACGTACTATGCGAAAGTTATCGTTTACTCCCCTTATGTATAGAAAACATCAAACAACCCCCTGTTGTTAGTTTTTTTCCTAATTTCGTTAGTCAAACCTTTTGGCCGACTGTTGCTATTTGTTGGCTTCTTTTGACGAAAATGCCCTAAAATTATATAGATTGCTTAGTTTTCGCCATTTTTCACTTATCGATCAATAAGAATGAAGCTTTGCAGATTATAAATAGCAAAATCCACAAAAAGGAAAACTGAAAACCCGTGAAATCTAAAAGAAACCCTAAAATTGAAATAAAACTTTAATTGAAAATTAAAAACAAAACCTTAATATACAATGGCAAAACCCCCCAAAAAAAAATTAAAAAACCCTAAAATCAAACACTAAAATCGACAAAAAATCTTAATCTAAATGAACGCAATTTTTTTTAACAATCCACAAAAAATAAACCATAAAAAATTAGGGATTATATCATACATAAAGTAGGGCAAAAGAGTCATTTCACACTCAAATTTATCATAGTGAAAAGTTTGACAATTGATGGTAAAAAGTAAGGGGCGTTTCATTTTTTCTATACATTAGTATGGGTGTAAAATGAATTTTACCCTTTTATATTTTCGGACTTTATTGAGAACTCGGAGAATTCAATATGTATTTATATTTAAAAAAAAAAATCAATGTTAATCGAGAAATTCCGATAATTATAATTTTATTATTGTTAATTCACCTTTTATTTCAGACGTCCTTCACCACTGATATCATTTCAATCAGGACAACCGGATTTGGCCAATTTGCAATAAGTTCTCTATCATTCAGACGGAATTACCGGTCTCTTTCTCCCTCACCCCATCCACTCCTTCTATCTTCTCCTTTTCTATTTCAAATTCAACAATATATTCGATGCACCACAATCATCTTCCCACATCCAGCAACCGTCGTCTTCATTTGTTGTCGTAGTCATCGAATAAGAATCGACTATCACACACATAGTGACACACACACATACACTCACACACAAACAGTAGTTGAAAAACATATATGCGTTTATAAATGCACCTTTGAATGATACGAATGGTAGTTGCTGGTTCACTTTGATTAGCTACATGATATCGGAAGGTGATTGTGGATAGACAAGTGTTCTATGGAAGAGGACCACTAAACATAACTAAGTTCAGTGACTTAAGGTCTCCTTATACTATCCACTATATATTTTTTATGTGTGTATAATTCTCTGTCTAAACTTTGTAACCAAGTTATCCTTATAGTCTTCAGTGTATATTTTCCATGTGTGTATACTTCTATGTCGTCGAGTGCATCTATTCACGTTCTAATAATACTCAGTTTAAGCTCTCTAAGTAAGAGGGTGTTTGGTTAAGCTTATTTTAAACAGCTGATAAGCTCTTACGTCTGATAAGATGTTTTAAGAGCTGATAAGCTATTACATCTTATTTTTAGGATTAATTTTTAGAGTGTTTGGATAATGGGCTTATTTCTTATTTTTACTCATTAAAAGATCTTAAATAAAAAGGTGGGTAAGGTACTTATTTAAAAAGATCTTATTTGCTCTCCAACAGCTTATTTTAAAAAAAATTAAGATCTTTTTCTAAAAATTTGCCAAACACTTTGGAATAGCTTATAAGCTCTAAAACATCTTATAAGCTTCTTTTAACATCTTATAAGCTTAGCCAAACACCCTCTAAGTTCTTCGGGATTGTTCTAAGCTCTCCAAGTAATCTCTTCGGGATCGTCATAAGCTCTTTAAGTAAGCTACCTATACTGTTGAGTCTTTATAATCAGTTCTAGACTTCCAGAATTTGTTGTTGGTCAGGCTGCGCTATAAAAGAGTGCACGAAGGGTAAACTTGTCCGTTCAATGCTCATATCAATTAAAAGGCACCAGGGACTCTAAATGGTACCAAAATCCAATTAGAGGACCTTTAGTAAAATGGGAATAATCCATTTATTTTAATAATTATAGCTCGGGTACCGACTCGTGAGCTAATAGATAGATGAAAATGAGTTTGATATCAAGCTTGAATTTTTATTTGAGCCGACTCTCATTACATCTCTAATTAAATTTATTATAACACCAAATGTAAAAAAATTGAGCTCGAGCTTTTCTTGAGCCGACTCATATGACAAGTCCACTTGCTCATACACCCCTAATTCTTTGATTTACTACTCTACAATAGTCGATAAGTTGAAATTCTTTTCGCGATTTTCAATCCTCAAATTCCCACAATTCTTTCTTTTGACGAAAATGCCCTAAAATTATATAGATTGCTTAGTTTTCGCCATTTTTCACTTATCGATCAATAAGAATGAAGCTTTGCAGATTATAAATAGCAAAATCCACAAAAAGGAAAACTGAAAACCCGTGAAATCTAAAAGAAACCCTAAAATTGAAATAAAACTTTAATTGAAAATTAAAAACAAAACCTTAATATACAATGGCAAAACCCCCAAAAAAAATTAAAAAACCCTAAAATCAAACACTAAAATCGACAAAAAATCTTAATCTAAATGAACGCAATTTTTTTTAACAATCCACAAAAAATAAACCATAAAAAATTAGGGATTATATCATACATAAAGTAGGGCAAAAGAGTCATTTCACACTCAAATTTATCATAGTGAAAAGTTTGACAATTGATGGTAAAAAGTAAGGGGCGTTTCATTTTTTCTATACATTAGTATGGGTGTAAAATGAATTTTACCCTTTTATATTTTCGGACTTTATTGAGAACTCGGAGAATTCAATATGTATTTATATTTAAAAAAAAAAATCAATGTTAATCGAGAAATTCCGATAATTATAATTTTATTATTGTTAATTCACCTTTTATTTCAGACGTCCTTCACCACTGATATCATTTCAATCAGGACAACCGGATTTGGCCAATTTGCAATAAGTTCTCTATCATTCAGACGGAATTACCGGTCTCTTTCTCCCTCACCCCATCCACTCCTTCTATCTTCTCCTTTTCTATTTCAAATTCAACAATATATTCGATGCACCACAATCATCTTCCCACATCCAGCAACCGTCGTCTTCATTTGTTGTCGTAGTCATCGAATAAGAATCGACTATCACACACATAGTGACACACACACATACACTCACACACAAACAGTAGTTGAAAAACATATATGCGTTTATAAATGCACCTTTAAATGATACGAATGGTAGTTGCTGGTTCACTTTGATTAGCTACATGATATCGGAAGGTGATTGTGGATAGACAAGTGTTCTATGGAAGAGGACCACTAAACATAACTAAGTTCAGTGACTTAAGGTCTCCTTATACTATCCACTATATATTTTTTATGTGTGTATAATTCTCTGTCTAAACTTTGTAACCAAGTTATCCTTATAGTCTTCAGTGTATATTTTCCATGTGTGTATACTTCTATGTCGTCGAGTGCATCTATTCACGTTCTAATAATACTCAGTTTAAGCTCTCTAAGTAAGAGGGTGTTTGGTTAAGCTTATTTTAAACAGCTGATAAGCTCTTACGTCTGATAAGATGTTTTAAGAGCTGATAAGCTATTACATCTTATTTTTAGGATTAATTTTTAGAGTGTTTGGATAATGGGCTTATTTCTTATTTTTACTCATTAAAAGATCTTAAATAAAAAGGTGGGTAAGGTACTTATTTAAAAAGATCTTATTTGCTCTCCAACAGCTTATTTTAAAAAAAATTAAGATCTTTTTCTAAAAATTTGCCAAACACTTTGGAATAGCTTATAAGCTCTAAAACATCTTATAAGCTTCTTTTAACATCTTATAAGCTTAGCCAAACACCCTCTAAGTTCTTCGGGATTGTTCTAAGCTCTCCAAGTAATCTCTTCGGGATCGTCATAAGCTCTTTAAGTAAGCTACCTATACTGTTGAGTCTTTATAATCAGTTCTAGACTTCCAGAATTTGTTGTTGGTCAGGCTGCGCTATAAAAGAGTGCACGAAGGGTAAACTTGTCCGTTCAATGCTCATATCAATTAAAAGGCACCAGGGACTCTAAATGGTACCAAAATCCAATTAGAGGACCTTTAGTAAAATGGGAATAATCCATTTATTTTAATAATTATAGCTCGGGTACCGACTCGTGAGCTAATAGATAGATGAAAATGAGTTTGATATCAAGCTTGAATTTTTATTTGAGCCGACTCTCATTACATCTCTAATTAAATTTATTATAACACCAAATGTAAAAAAATTGAGCTCGAGCTTTTCTTGAGCCGACTCATATGACAAGTCCACTTGCTCATACACCCCTAATTCTTTGATTTACTACTCTACAATAGTCGATAAGTTGAAATTCTTTTCGCGATTTTCAATCCTCAAATTCCCACAATTCTTTCTTTTGACGAAAATGCCCTAAAATTATATAGATTGCTTAGTTTTCGCCATTTTTCACTTATCGATCAATAAGAATGAAGCTTTGCAGATTATAAATAGCAAAATCCACAAAAAGGAAAACTGAAAACCCGTGAAATCTAAAAGAAACCCTAAAATTGAAATAAAACTTTAATTGAAAATTAAAAACAAAACCTTAATATACAATGGCAAAACCCCCCAAAAAAAATTAAAAAACCCTAAAATCAAACACTAAAATCGACAAAAAATCTTAATCTAAATGAACGCAATTTTTTTTAACAATCCACAAAAAATAAACCATAAAAAATTAGGGATTATATCATACATAAAGTAGGGCAAAAGAGTCATTTCACACTCAAATTTATCATAGTGAAAAGTTTGACAATTGATGGTAAAAAGTAAGGGGCGTTTCATTTTTTCTATACATTAGTATGGGTGTAAAATGAATTTTACCCTTTTATATTTTCGGACTTTATTGAGAACTCGGAGAATTCAATATGTATTTATATTTAAAAAAAAAAATCAATGTTAATCGAGAAATTCCGATAATTATAATTTTATTATTGTTAATTCACCTTTTATTTCAGACGTCCTTCACCACTGATATCATTTCAATCAGGACAACCGGATTTGGCCAATTTGCAATAAGTTCTCTATCATTCAGACGGAATTACCGGTCTCTTTCTCCCTCACCCCATCCACTCCTTCTATCTTCTCCTTTTCTATTTCAAATTCAACAATATATTCGATGCACCACAATCATCTTCCCACATCCAGCAACCGTCGTCTTCATTTGTTGTCGTAGTCATCGAATAAGAATCGACTATCACACACATAGTGACACACACACATACACTCACACACAAACAGTAGTTGAAAAACATATATGCGTTTATAAATGCACCTTTGAATGATACGAATGGTAGTTGCTGGTTCACTTTGATTAGCTACATGATATCGGAAGGTGATTGTGGATAGACAAGTGTTCTATGGAAGAGGACCACTAAACATAACTAAGTTCAGTGACTTAAGGTCTCCTTATACTATCCACTATATATTTTTTATGTGTGTATAATTCTCTGTCTAAACTTTGTAACCAAGTTATCCTTATAGTCTTCAGTGTATATTTTCCATGTGTGTATACTTCTATGTCGTCGAGTGCATCTATTCACGTTCTAATAATACTCAGTTTAAGCTCTCTAAGTAAGAGGGTGTTTGGTTAAGCTTATTTTAAACAGCTGATAAGCTCTTACGTCTGATAAGATGTTTTAAGAGCTGATAAGCTATTACATCTTATTTTTAGGATTAATTTTTAGAGTGTTTGGATAATGGGCTTATTTCTTATTTTTACTCATTAAAAGATCTTAAATAAAAAGGTGGGTAAGGTACTTATTTAAAAAGATCTTATTTGCTCTCCAACAGCTTATTTTAAAAAAAATTAAGATCTTTTTCTAAAAATTTGCCAAACACTTTGGAATAGCTTATAAGCTCTAAAACATCTTATAAGCTTCTTTTAACATCTTATAAGCTTAGCCAAACACCCTCTAAGTTCTTCGGGATTGTTCTAAGCTCTCCAAGTAATCTCTTCGGGATCGTCATAAGCTCTTTAAGTAAGCTACCTATACTGTTGAGTGTGTATAATCAGTTCTAGACTTCCAGAATTTGTTGTTGGTCAGGCTGCGCTATAAAAGAGTGCACGAAGGGTAAACTTGTCCGTTCAATGCTCATATCAATTAAAAGGCACCAGGGACTCTAAATGGTACCAAAATCCAATTAGAGGACCTTTAGTAAAATGGGAATAATCCATTTATTTTAATAATTATAGCTCGGGTACCGACTCGTGAGCTAATAGATAGATGAAAATGAGTTTGATATCAAGCTTGAATTTTTATTTGAGCCGACTCTCATTACATCTCTAATTAAATTTATTATAACACCAAATGTAAAAAAATTGAGCTCGAGCTTTTCTTGAGCCGACTCATATGACAAGTCCACTTGCTCATACACCCCTAATTCTTTGATTTACTACTCTACAATAGTCGATAAGTTGAAATTCTTTTCGCGATTTTCAATCCTCAAATTCCCACAATTCTTTCTTAAGGGTAAATTATAATAACCCCTTTTGATATTGTATGTGTCATGAAATATTTGTATTATTTAATCTTTTTTTTTTAAATAAATAGTGAAATAACTTCTTAAAGTATAATACTATCAACATATCATTATGATGAAACCAATGAAATAACAACGAAAACAAGTTGTCAAATGAAATAAATATATATCAAGGCACGTGAATGGGGATTTTTATATTATTAAAATTATATTTCTTTAAAATCAAATCATATCAATTTAAACTTGAAAAATATATTTTTGGTCCCTTAAATTTGCACTAGTATCCCATTTGCTTATATTGAAAAAAAAACACATTTGGTTACTCATATTTCAAAATTTTAATATTTTTAATCATGTCCGTCAATTTTTAGTTAGTACTAACAGAATCAAGTGTATACCCATCACATGAGGGACAAAGTGTATTTTTTGTGAACACGGGGATTAAATGTGAAACAGTGCAACTTCGGGAGAAAACTGTAATTTTCCCCAATTTACACCGTAAATATACAATAAAAAATATTTTAATTTTTTTAATTATTATTTAATCATTAATTTTTTATTTATAAATCCCGTGCTGAAAAAAAAACTAGTACTACAATCAATCAAACATTTATGAACATGTTTTTTGGCCCCCTTTTGTGTTTTCTTTCCGATTGAAATTTGAAACAGAGAAAAAATCAGCCATGAAAATCCATTTTCATGGGGGTTTGAATAAATACAGTTGAACACCATTAACGAACGTAAAAAAAAGCTTCATATTAATATTTTGCTTCTCGCTCCGATTTTGAAATTTTATTTGAGATCTCTCTCACTGAGGTTTTCCCCACAAACTACTCCACACTGAATTTATTTCAGAAACCCTATTCGAAATTGAGATTCAATTCTTCGAGCCCGGCGTACTTAGAGAGAGAGAGAATTTTTGGGGAGCAACTTCGTTTGCAGTAATTAACGCTGCGCGTAAATGAGGCGTCGAGGGTCAGATTTCCGGCGGCCGGTGCGGCGGCGGATTCCGAATGTTTTCTGGTTAACGCTCTGCGGATTGGTGATTCTGCTCTTCATTGTGCTCTTCAGCCGTGAGTCTCAGCAGCCCAGTTCGAGATCGGTTTACACCAAGGTGATTTTTCGATCTGATTTTTCCTCAATTATCTGAATAAATTTCATTTTTGTGAATAATTTCTGTTCTCGCATTATAGTTTTGATTTTGGATTCGTGGGTGAATTTTCTGTGGTCTCTCTTTAATTGGGTAGGTTATTTCTTTCGATTGATTCGATTGGCAATAGTAAGTATAAAGAGTAGCAGTAAATCATCTGAAGTATGTGAAACTCCCTGTTGTTCAGTGATTAGGTGAGCTTTGGTATTGGGTCAATTGTCGAATATGAATGTATTTATGCGTGTTTATGAACATTATTTATTGTTTATGAACAATTAGACTGTTAAGAATGGCAGAATTCTGATATAATTATACAAAAGATAAACTTTCGGAACCCAAACTTAGGGTACGACGTTTAGCTAATTTGAGGAGGAATGTGATTTCGTTGTTTAGTTTTAACTTGTAAGTGATGATAATCGAGTCGGTGTTTGGTGTATAGGCATGTTAGTTTTGTGTTAAACGCACACTGAGTTTAAATGTAACGCTTTTCGTACGTCACTTGTCATCGTGTTCTATAGATTTTTTTCGTACTTAAAAGATACAGTTGGAAGCAGTAGCATTACGTCAGAAGTTTGATATGGTAAAGTATTATGTTAAATTAGATTAAGGAAATATTCGTTTCTTAATTCGTCAACATTTAGTCAGTGATTAAGTTTGATACTAGTTTACAGCAGCAGAGTAGAACAAATTCATACGATGCATTTGAAGCATGGTAAAAAACTTAGGGACGAACTTTTTTGTCGTGAAAATTTAACTGTAATACTTTTATACTATGTGTATTCGACAAGATCAGTCCATGTCTATAACTTCGATTCCATATTTTCTCAGACCTGTTTATTAACCTTAAAGAGGAAAGATCCTTTAGTGCACCACATCCTTTTGGAAAGATAATATTTCTTAGATAGTTCGTGATTGTTGTGGCACAAAGTCCGGATAAGTAGATAAATATCTTAAATGTCACTAGTTGTCTGCTTTTCTTTCTTTATTTCTTTCTTTCTTTCTTTTATTGAATAAAAATCCTCGTGGAGGGATGATAAAGTGTACATAGTACGCCTATGTGGAATAAAGCCACATGACCGGAAACTTTTTCGATAAATATACAAACAAACATAAACAGCAATATATATTGTTACACATCTCTCTTTCTATACTACGCAGAGAAACCTTAGACATGACAAAGTCATGGAAGGCCTCAACATCACAGATGAAATGCTGAGTCCCGATTCAGTAACAAGGCAGCTCAACGACCAAATCTCTCTAGCAAAGGCATACCTCGTCATTGCAAAAGAAAGCAACAATCTACAATTCGCATGGGAACTCAGCGCGCAGATTCGCAACTCTCAGATCCTTCTCTCGAACGCCGCCTTAAGCAGAACTCCGCTAACAATCACCGCCTCTGAAACCGCCATACGTGACATGGCGCTCCTACTCTTCCAAGCACAGCAGCTCCATTACGACTGTGCCACCATGATCATGAGACTGAAGGCCAAAATCCAAACCCTCGAAGAAGAGAAAAATGCCATTAAAGAAGAGAGCTCGAAGCTCGGACAAGTGGCGGCAGAAGAAGTACCGAAGAGTTTGTACTGCCTTGGTGTTCGTTTGACCAGCGAATGGTTCAAGAACGCAAATTTAGCGACAAAAGTCAAAGAGAACCGACACACAGCCTTGAAAGTCAAAGACAACAGTTTGTATCACTTCTGTGTATTTTCAGACAACATTTTAGCCACTTCGGTTGTGGTGAATTCGACAGCTTCGAATTCCAAAAATCCTGAAAAGGTCGTTTTCCACCTCGTGACCGATGAAGTGAATTACGCAGCAATGAGGGCTTGGTTTGCATTGAATAGCTTTGGTGGGGTCACTGTCGATGTACAAAAGATAGAAGATTTCACCTGGTTGAACTCTTCGTATGTACCTGTTCTTAAACAGCTTCAAGATTCTGATACACAGAGCTACTATTTCTCGGGCAGTGGTGGAGATAATCGAACTCCGATCAAGTTCAGAAACCCTAAATACTTGTCTATGCTAAACCACCTCAGATTCTACATTCCCGAGGTTTTCCCTGCCCTGAAAAAGGTTGTCTTTCTTGACGATGATGTTGTTGTCCAAAAAGATATTTCGCCTCTCTTCTCTTTAGACCTCAACGGCAATGTTAATGGTGCAGTCGAGACATGTATGGAGACATTTCATAGGTACCACAAGTACTTGAATTACTCTCACCCGTTGATCCGTGAGCATTTCGACCCGGATGCATGCGGGTGGGCTTTTGGGATGAATGTGTTCGATTTGGTCGAATGGAGGAGAAGAAATGTGACGGGTATTTATCATTATTGGCAGGAGAAGAATGTGGACAGGACTTTGTGGAAACTCGGGACTCTCCCACCAGGTTTGTTGACTTTCTATGGGTTGACCGAGCCTTTGAACCCGTCTTGGCATGTGCTGGGATTGGGGTACGCGAGTGTTGAGCAGGGTTTGATAGACAAGGGGGCTGTGCTGCATTTTAATGGGAATTCGAAACCGTGGTTGAAGATTAGAATCGAGAAGTATAAATCCCTTTGGGATAAATACGTTGATTATGGGCTTCCTCTTTTGCAACAGTGCAATGTTCATTAGCTGTTTTTTAATGTGGATTCTTTCTACGTACTACTCTGCTCGAGGCACAAGTTTTGGACCAATCTTTTGTACACTCGAGGCATTTTAGGAGGAGGTTACTGCAGCTACGAGGTACGATGAACGGTAAGTGGTACATTTGATAGATAGTTATTCAGAATTCGGTTTTTCGTTGTTGTAATATAGTGTTTTCAGCATGTAGTTTCTCATGTTAAATCTCTATGTGGGGTCTGTCCAAGAATTTATTGCGCGAAATTTGATTGGAGTCTCCTTTTTGAGCTTGGCTTATGGGGTATTAACGATGATGTTTCTCTTCCACAGAATCATATTGTTTTGTTTATTACATTTTTTTTCTATTTTTGTTTTTGTATTTTACGTCTATATAATATTTCATCGCTACATGGCTATATATGTTATCGACAATTTTGGCTCTCTAGGACATATAATTGTGATTTTGCACCTTCAAATCGTGTTTTACTCCTTTTACATGCTTATACATACATACATACATATATGGTATATATATATATATATATATATATATATATATATGGAATTGCTTTTTGCGGTTTGAAAATTGCTATTTGCGGTTTATAATAAAACCCCCAAAAAAAATATTTTATTTCATTAAAACCCCAAAACTTCCCAAAAAAGTCCAAAACCGCCCCAAAACGCGTAAAAGCCCAACTTGGGCGTCCATTCATGCAGTGCACGCCCAAGTTGGGCGTGCAAACTGCATTTGGGCGCCCGAGTTGGGCGTCCAGTGCAAAAAAATTTTTTTTTTTTTTTTTTTAAATGATCGAACGCCCAAGATGGGCGCCCAA